AACCAGGGCCTGTGATCTGGAAACGTCTGTTGTTTGAAGAAAGCCTCGTCTATCTCATCCTCCTGGTCTGATGGTCTATAGCAGACGCCCACCACGACATCACCCTTGTTGCTCTCACCTCTAAACTTAACCCAAAGACTCTCAACAGGCTTTTCTCCAGTTTCATACTGGAGCTCTGAGCAATCATACTTCTCTCTTACATATAAACAAGCTTATCATGTTTAGGAAATCATACCTTTTCCACGGTTACCTTACGTGGCATATCTGGTATAAGAGTCATTGCAATTTGGTATTGATAATATTATAAATGGTCGCCCATATTCCATACAGCATCACCATCCCCCCGAGGCACTAGATACCTTTGCAATGGGCAGGTCCTTCCCTGCCTTCCCTTCCCTCCGCTCTTGAGCTGGGCGAGTTCCAGCTTTTCTCACTTACTGGGCGAACTGAAATGGTTTTTTTTAAAAGGCATTCTGGATGAAACCAAAATGATACATTTTTGTTTTTTTGGGCTGAAACAAAACTCCAAATGATTTACTCTGGGGTCAAATGAACCATTTCATTTAATTTTCAAAGGGTTTGAAATGTTTGCGATATTTTTTAAACAAAATGTAGGTCAACACTGAAACGAAACGGCTTTCCGAAGTGACATGTTGAAATGTTTCGTTTGGACATTTACAGGTTTTTCCATTTTGTTTCGGCAGAAACTAGTCACTGAATTCGACCTAAAATTGCATTTTTTGGTAAAAAAACGATTAGCACAGAAATGTCACCTGCTCTCCTTCCCACCCTCATCCACATGACAAATCCTGACACCTCCCCAATACACCCTGTATTTCCCCTCATTTTCCTCCTCTCCACAGCGCCCCCTTCTGTTGGATTTCCACACGGGAGCCATGCAGCCAGAGGCTGCATCTCCTCCGCCCCCCTGTTTACCTCCCTCGATGACCGAGCTGCTCACTTCCCTGATACCATTCCTGAATTGCACACGTAACCCCTAAGTTCCAGGGAAGTGTGAAATCCTTTCTAACCTTGGTCCCCTTCTACCCGCTGGCTTTGAAAGTTATTTTACTGGCTGCATGGGTCCTGTTCTCTCCTCCAAAGGAGCAAGGCGGCAGCAGGCATCCTGGTGGCTTGTCTAATTGCTTCTATTACTTCTCAGAATTGTGTAAGCCTGTTGGAATTCACTTTGAAAACTATCTAGGAGAGAGCTGACTGCATCTCCTTCTGCGTCACGGCACTTTGTGGGCATCACTAAAGATGTTCCTGCCATCCTGGGGCCCCCACAGCTCCCCGGGGGCCAAATTCAACCCTGGTATAAGAGGGCAGAAGGCCCTGGAGGCCAGTGGGGTTGGGCAGCTCTGGGATCTGTCAGTGTGGCTGAGCTCACCTCCAGGATGGAAAGTCACAGCTCAGGTTCCATGCCAGGCACAGCCCCAGAGCTGGCCGGTGGATCAGTGCGAGACAGGGTGTGAGATGCATAACGAGCGCCATCAGGCCTGGGTGCTGACACTGCAGAGGGCAGTGCTGGAGGCAGGGGAGGGGCTGCAATGTCATGGCTTTTCCTGAATCCTGAATTTCGATTCACTGGTTTGTGCCTTATTACTGCATGGAGAGGGGGCAGGATGCCCCTTCCCCAGGTTGCAGAGTGCTCACACTGAAGCCCCATAAGGTGACCAGATAGCAAGTGTAAAAAATCGGGACGAGGATGAGGGGGTAATAGGTGGCTATATAAGAAAAAGCCCCCCAAATCGGGACTGTCCCTATAAAATCGGGACATCTGGTCACCCTAAGCCCCACTAGCAATCAACCTGATTTCCCGTGGGAGACCAAGCCTCAGAGGGTGGCTGCTCCGCGCTTACGACCCACAACAGCCCACCGAACTCGAGCAGACACTTCTGCAGAGTCCCAGGGAAAGGGGCGCAGCCTGGGCTGTGCGTAAGGAAACCAGCCCAGTACTGTGTTTCAGGTCCTGGAGCATAAACCAGGTGATGGCCTAAGCATTCTGGCTACAGTGATGTATATTTATGGAGCCCTCCCCCCAGATAATGCCATTGCCCTTTACTAGTAATGACACTTTGGGCATTTCCTTTGGCATTATTAAAGGGGGAAGGGAGGAAGTCACTCAGGTGACAAGGTAATCAACTCCTGCCGAAACACTCCGGAGACAACGGCAACAGAAACGATTAGCTGTAATTGGTACTTAACGTGAGTATTAAACTGGTGTGGTCCCCAGGATTTATTTAAAGACTCTGTTTAAGTCATATGGCATGAGCCATGCGAAAACAGCAGTGACCTTGAATAGCAGCTAATTCCCTTCTCAAATGTGCTCCTGGCACCGGGAGGCACAAACATCAACAGCTGTGGGGGCTGGACTGGAGGGGTCAGTTTTTCACAGCAAATGCATTTCACATTCTGGGCGATGCTGCTGTACCCTCAAAAAGAACAGGAGGACTTGTGGCACCTTAGAGACTAACAAATTTATTAGAGCATAAGCTTTCGTGGGCTACAGCCCACTTCTTCGGATGCTGTACCCTGTAAAGCACCAGCCGCTCCCATTGCGCAGCGAGGCTAGCCTTTCTCTGCGGAGGGTCAGAGTCGCTGGATTCGGCCCCATGCACGATACTGGTGCAAAAGCTGTGGTTGGACCGATTAGCTCTTTGTGCAATGGGGCGTCCTCTGGAGCGAAGGCAATGGTGGGAATGCAGCCAGTGCAATATGGGACTGAGGCAGGGCATCCCATCAGAGGGTCCGTGCGCAGGGCCCCATGGTCTTCACTACTGCGCAGTGTGGAGGGGAGCAATCACCAGTAGATTAGGGCCTGGGGCACAGCTCCTCAGCCCCCAAAGCTCCACCCAAGGTGATGAGTCAAGACAAGGATGGTGGGAAGTCATGGAGCTTGCTCCCATTAGGTTAATTCAGGATTTTTGAATGCTAGGGGTTGCCAGTAGTGCAGATCCATAAAGAAACAGATGAATGCATGAATTGGATGGTTCTGTGCCCAGTGCAAGGAAAAGCCTCTTTGTACCAAAAGGTTCATGCAACATTCACCTGTTTTGAAAACTCTCACACTTTCAATCTCCCATGGATGACCCAGGGCGGTCCTTGAGCACTGCAGCATGACCAACTCTCCCGAGTTGAGTTATCATGAGTCTCACGCTATTGATTTTGGTTTTGTAAGCTCCAGCTTCTGGAGTCACGTGAGTCCACATGAATCTCAGCTTGTATTACAAAAATTTAAAAGCGATACAAGGTGAGTGCTGTAATATCTTTAATTGGATCAACTTCTGTTGGTGAAAGAGACAGCAAAGAAGAGCTCTGTGCAGCTCAAAAGCTTGTCTCTCTCACCAACAGAAGCTGGTCCAATAAAAGGTATTGCCTCACCCAACTTGTCTCTCTCATATCCTGGGGCCAACACAGCTACAACAACATTGCAAACAAAAAATGAAAAGTAAGTTGTTAGTCCTCATTGATGGGGTCAAAAATGCTCAGTGGAGGCACCCGGGCCACATTTTGAAGCTTTTCTCTGTAGCTATGAGGGCTAGAAGCTCACTTTCATTGAAATAAAAGCCAAGATTCCCATGTAATCACGTGATCCAGGAGCTGGGGATTTACAAAAAAACACCAAATATCGTGAGAATCACGATAAAATCGTGAGAGTTGGTGACCCTGCTACAACTCTGTGAATAGTTCTAGTAGAGTAGTGAACCACTCACATACTGAGTGTCAGACACATGCTTGACTCAGGGCCTATGTTACTTCTGCTGGCTCAGGAGGGAGCCAAAGTGTGGTGCCAGTGTAACCCACACACCTCCTGGGTGTGGTGTTCTATCCCATCTGGTGGCACCAAGCTCACTTAGAGAGATTAATGAGTTTGCTCTGCAGCCTTAGCGAAGAGGCAGTTGCCTTTTAGCTCATGCTGTAGAGGCTCATGCACTAAGCTCCAGAGGTCCCAGATCAATCCCGCCCGATGACGACCGGGGTCTGTTGGTGTTACACATGGAGCCAGTGGTCTGTGGAGAGCTGTCTGGTCACATGGTGCTGGTTTTTCTCCCTTCATCTCCAGTTGCTTCTACAGCTCTCAGGCTCTTCACTGCAGAGGAGAGCCTGTGGGGCTGGAAAGGCAGATGGAACCAAGAAGGAGAAATGGGGGCCACCAGCAGGGGCGAATCATAGAATCATAGAATATCAGGGTTGGAAGGGACCTCAAGAGGTCATCTACTCCAACCCCCCTGCTCAAAGCAGGACCAATTCCCAACTAGGGAGGAAGGAATGAGGCAGCTGGGCAGCATGTCCAAGGGAACATGGGAAGAAAGGCACCAGTTCTGGGAACAGACCAGGCAGGGGAGATTGGGGATGGAGATGAAATAGCAGCACAGAACAGCAGGAGGCGATGGGGTGACAGACCTTTTTACAGAAGCAACACCACACTGTGTTGCATTACAGATACTGAAGCTATATCTGCACAGTGCAGTTAACCTGGGCTCTGCTTTAACTCGAGCTGGAACCCACCCGCTTTGCGGTGAGGACACAGGAAAATAGTGCGCTATCTTCTCACAATCCCCCGCCCCCTCAGGACAGACGAGTTCTCCCACAATGGATACCTGCATGGGAAAGACTCCAGGGCGCCTCAGCCAAGGAAGGGCACGTCACTTTGCAGCCGGGATGCTCACTCTTGGGCTAGGCTCACCGGATGCTCAGACCTGGGTGCTGATCACCTGGGTCAACCAAGCTGCAAAGACCTTCCCTTACAAATGGATCTGCAGTTTCGTACTGTGACTCCTCCAGAGGGTAGCAATTGCTGTCAGGGCCACATGCAATTGTGGATGGGAGGGTCAGGTCCACACAGTCACAAACGGGAGGGTGGTGTCCATATGAGATTTTGTCTTAGTAAGGCGTGGTCCACACCATGGAAAATATTGAGATCCCCGCCTGATCTAGACCCTAGGACTGTGCTCATGTCTGACACGAAACCTGTTGTTTGCTTTTGTCCCCTCCAGGTCCTGAACCTTTTCTTAGCTTTGCTGCTGAGCTCCTTCAGCGCCGATAGCCTTGCGGCTTCTGATGATGATGGCGAGATGAACAATTTGCAGATTGCTATTGGCAGGATCACCAGGGCGATTGACTTTGTAAAGAGAACTGTCCTCATGCTACTTCACCTGCGGTGGAAGGAGAAGAGAGAGCCAGCCGAGGAACAAGAGGATAATAAGAAAGACAACTATGTGCTAAACCACATGGATTCAGGCCAGGATTCCAAGTCGGAGTATATGGATGGAGTAGCTGGGAAAGAGCAGTTGTTTGTGGATGAGCTGGACCACATGAATTTCATTAACAATCCCAACCTGACTGTCCAAGTGCCCATTGCCTCTGAGGAGTCCGACCTCTATGATGAAGAAACGAGCACTCAGTCAGACACAGAAGAAACCAAGGTAGGCATATCAGTCTTTGCTTTAGCCAGCCAGCCTCACGGATGGTAATGGGCCATGTCCTGTTGTCCAGCACTCCCATTCAAGGCAGAGGGGGGACTGGAGTGGGATTTGCATTGCATGTTGCAGGATTGTTTTCTAGGGCTGCAGCGACAAGCCTGATGGGAATTGCATGCACATTCAGTTGCCCAAACTGGGATGTCAGTGGTCTGTGCTGCAGACAAAGGAGCAGATGCACTAGGTTTGCTACATCATTGCAGTTGCCCCAGGCAGCTCTTTACTCTTCCTGCATTTTGAACATTAAGTGGCAACCATGGGGAAGTGGGGGAGGAAGGAATCATGCTGAAGACTTCAAACCAAACCTCCCCCCCACTCACCAGCCCCCAACTGGGCCCCCTCCTCCACTCAGATAAGCAGACGGAAGAGGAGCATTTGGCCAGGATCTTTGTCCCACTGGTATACTCAACAATGGCTAGTCACCATTTGGCTGAAACTCTGTCTATAAAAGTCACTCGGTACGTGAGACTGTGGCCTCGTCTATACTTACAAATGTTGCTGCTTTAACTATACCAGCCTAGAGAAAGCAGCAAAGCCCCACCTCTAGTGCAGACGCCATGATGCTGGTGTAGAAGTGCTCAGGCCAGGGGACTGATGGAAGCTGAGGAACCGGAGTGGGGGCTAGTCTGCTCGTCAGTGGCGTTGTCAGTTGGGCTCTAACCGTGGAGATCCTTTGCCGATCTAGTTAAACCACTGCCCTGAATGCCATGCACTGCACTGGCAAACAACTCTGCTTTCTAGGGGTAAGTTGCATCTAAATGAGGGGGTTTGCCCTGTCTGTTGGGGGTAATTTTTTCACACTCCTAACCAACATAGCTATGACACCAAAACTGTGTAGTGTAGATCTGTCCTAAGCTATCCTGGTATAAGCACCATTATCCTGGATTAAGTGCATCTACAAGAGAGCTTTTACCAGCATAATGATATCAGCAAAAAATCTCACTCCTAACTGGCAGAGCTATGCAGCCCTGAGTATGAGCCATTTCGGCCAAAGGAACATTCTTTGTGATGGCAACATCTGGCTGTCTCCGGCTCTGCTGTCTGGGGTGGGGATGGGAGCAGGGAGTATATGTCTCTGCAGTGGTTAAAGTCCTGGACTAAAACCAAATGGAAACATCTGCTCCCTTGTTGTCTCCTTCTTCTTTCATTTTTTTCATCTCCCTGTGGGAAAATGAGCTGTGCTTTATGCTATGAAAGCCACGGCTCTAGTGTTGCATGATCCCAGATCCCACAGGGATGGGTGCAGCATAGGAACATAGCAATACAATTGAACAGTATTCTGCATGTCTGTTAGATGGTCTATTTATGCCAGTGCGTCTGCAACTGGGAGTCCACTGGTACTTGGGTCAAACCCACGGCAGTAGACGTCAGAAGGATGAGAGACAGTGGTGAGTGGAAGGAAGGTTTATCCCGACATCCTGTTTTGGGATGGGGGCAGTTTAGCAGGTTGTTCCCCTTTTTAGGTACAATCAGGTGGAAAAAATTGTCCTGTAGAGGTTGCACACTCTACAGCAGCAGCAGAGAACCACTGGGATATGACAGCTCTCAGCTATTGTCCTCTCTAGGGGCACACTCCGCCGTACCCATCTACCTCTTAACTCCATTCACCACAAAGGCAGTGCTGCCTCTGGATGGCTCCGTGGGATGTGACAACCTGTCACTAGGCAAGGATGAGTGCTCACTGACTGGCTTTTACCCACCACCTTCCACACTTGGCCCCGTTGGAGTCAGTGGCCACTGCTGGGGCTCCTCCTCTGAGAACCTGGCCACTTCTTTAGGTGCTTAACTTTAAGCAACAGACTCAAAATGTTTGGCCTTATTTTTCCCCCCAATTGCTGTTCATAGGGATAAATTCCTCTTTTCTCAGCCCTAAAAGACCAAGGGAGAAGTTCTCCATGTGATAGGCAATGAACTGGGATTTGGCCACATGACTCTCATTATAGGAAAAGTTGGTAGTGCCACCTACAGTTGAAGTTGCCTGACGCTCTCCGTAAGAAGACCCTATTTTCAGTTGCTTCTAACTGTTCCAAAATGTGACCTTTCTGGCTAAAGTTTTCCATGCTGGGCATATGCCTCAGGAGGAGTTATTCTGGAACAGTTCTGCAAAAAAATGTTCAGCCATTTCCAAGAATAAGATTAGGGACTAATACATCAGTTTGTCCGTGTTAAAAAATCCTTACAACTGTTTCATTGAGAAGGTCCAGGGCCTCTGTGCTTTGAACTTGAAATTTGGTAAGGGGAGTTGCCCTAAGGTCAGCGAGGTGCCTTTTGCCATCCCGATGAAAATCAGGCAAGTGATAAGCCCCTGACAAATACAGTAAGCACATGTTCACTAATGGTTTCTTAGTTTGGCAGCTACATTTCCCAAATATTCCGTCCACACTGAGCATGCTCCAGCCCCCCACGCCTCCTTGGTATGAGTGGACTGCACTAAAATCAGGACATCTGGTCACCCTAGCTGCACATGTGCCATCCCCCCAGAGTGACTGAGCATGCTCCCTTCTAGGGCTGCAGGGGCTTAGCCAGACTTTATGTGCAATTGGTCCTCCAGGCTGCTGGAAGCTGCTGATCCACTGAAACTGAAAGAAGGAAGGCAGACCATCTCTCAGTGCTCTTCAAGTTGCTGCTCCAGCTGGTGCCCCGGCAGCATGGAGATGAAGGAAGAAGTAGCTTCTCTTTAAGGCAGAGGGATAAGGAATGGGGGCTAGGAGCAGATGAGGAGGCAAGGGCAGGGAGCATGGGCAAAAAGGTTATAACCACTAGAACGCACTCCTCTCCAGAACTTGGAATCAAACCCAACATTCCTGAGTCCCAACAGTCCTCTGGTGTCAGCCAGCAGTTATGAAACCTACTGACAAAGCATGTGTCTCATCCCCCGGCAAGCCTTCTACTGCTACCGGTTATTCTATTAGCTTGAGTGCTGGAGGGTCTAAAAGTTCTAGCCCTGATGGCTACTTGTACTGGTGACAGCGTGGTTCTGCATGATGGAATTTCTGTTTATTCTATTTACTTTTTTAAAAACTTAAGAAATGACATTAAAACACAAACGCCCTATGTTAAAAATGCAATTCAGGTTGCAATGTCGAGCACTCAGAAATTAGTAAATGGCAGAATTAAGGCTGCTTGTGCTACTTTCATTCATCCCTCTTGTGCGAAGACACCATGAGACACTCGTTAATTACATGATCACAGACTGTTTTTTCCACTAGACCCTGCCTCATCAGTGCTCATCCAGCCTCCAACAATTTCTTGCCCCATCCTCCCCAGCCCTTTGTGCTCCTCACCCCTCTGTGATGTGGGGCTGCGTGGAGCCCCTGGCAGCATGGCTCCTGCGGGAGCTGTGAGAACCAAGGGCACAGTCAGTTCCCCTGGCTTGGTGCTGGCTTCTTTTTAATGTTGCAGTACGGGGGGCTTCCACCCCTTGGGGATGATCCACATGTTCCCTTCTTTCCTTTCCCCATCACTTCTCATCCTAACCCCCTCCTGGGCCCCTTTCACACTCTGGGTAATTCCTCCTGGACTCCTTGACATTTACACCCTCTTAGACTTCAACCCTTTTTCCTGTGTGAGCTTCTGGCTCATACAAACCCAGGAACCCCCATCCCCCAAGTCAGATTCTGGATCTCTTATGAACTGCAGCCCAGCGGGACTTGCTAAGGAGATGGGTTACAAATGGAAATTCATAGTAGGGGCCACGGTGATTACACAGTCTGGCCTCCTGGACGACACAGCCAGAGAACTTCCCTGAAATAACTGCTGTTTGAACTAGAGCAGGTCTTTTAGTAAAAACATCCCATCTTGATTTAAATATTGTCAGTGATGGAGAATCCACCATGACCCTTGCTAAACAGCTCCAATGGTTAATTACCCTCCCTGTTAAAAACATACACCTTATTTCCAGTCTGAATCTGTCTAGCCTCAACTTTCAGCCATGGGGTCGTGTTAGACCTTCCTCTGCTAGACCAAAGAGCCCATTATTAAATATTTGATCCTCATGTAAATACTTATAGACTGTGATTATGGCACCCTGTAAACAGTGTGATTTAACTAATACACAGAGAACCCCTGCTGCTGTGGAATACAGGGATATAAACCCGAAAGCTACCTGGTTGAAAGGACATCAGGTCGTTGTTGATATCAGCAGATACCAGTGGGTGGCCGCAGAGTCAGTGCCAGGGATGTAGCTTTCCAATTCGATTATAAATGACTTGGGGGAAGGTGGTGAAATTTGCTGACGCCACTAAAATTGGATCCACTGTTAATACCTTAGAAAGGATCAGCTGCAGCCAGGCTCCCATGGCATGGGGGCAACGGGGGCCTGAGACGAAGCGGAGGAAGTTTAACATGGGTAATCGTTAAACGATGCATCTTAGAGCTAAAAGTCACAAGGTTTCTGATGTCTGTGTTGCTGGCTAATGCCCTAGAAGGCACTGACAGCGAGTGCGATGCAGGGAATCACATGGGCTGCAGTAACATAACAATGGAGAGACAAGCAAGGAAAAAACCCTATTAAGATTTGAGCCTGCATGAAATTGAGTCTAATAAACAAGCCCAGGGGAAATTACTAGGGCTGTCGATTAATCGCAGTTAACTCATGCAATTCACTCAAAAAATTAATTGTGATTAAAAAAATTAATTACAATTAATCGCAGTTTTAATCACACTGTTAAACAATAGACTACCAATTGAAATTTTTAAAATATTGTTGGATGTTTTTCTACATTTTCAAAAATATTTATTTCAGTTAAAACACAGAATACAAAGTGTACAGTGCTCACTTTATATTATTATTTCTAATTACAAATGTTTGCACTGTAAAAATGATAAACAAAAGAAAACATATTTTTCAATTCACCTCATACAAGTACTGGAGTGCAATCTCTTCATTGTGAAAGTGCAACTTACAAATGTAGATTTTTTTTTGTTACATAACTGCACTCAAAAAC